AGATCACATGAGTCATTTTGTGACAATAAAAAGGTAAACTCATCAAAGGAATACTGTAATTTCAAATACCCATGCACCTGGACAGGAGCCTTGAAATGTTTACTACACACACACTGTAGTGGTTTTGTCTTGCCAATTCACAGAACAAGTAGATAAAAGAAATCATACAACCAACCTGGAAGAATAGAGATTATTGGAATGCCATTAATCAATTAGATCTGACACTCAGAAATGCTCTTCACTGCAATGGAACACAAATTCACTACAAGTATCTGGTAAAGTTCATGATAGTTTAGACCATAAAACACTCTTAATGAATTTAAAAGGCTAAAAATAAAATCACTGAATTGCTGAGTGTGGTGGTTCACCTCTTTAATCACAGCCCTGAAGGCAGAGGCAGGTAGATCTCTGAAGCCAATGTGGTCTACAGAGCGAGTCCAGGACAGACAGGGCTATAGAGAAATCCTGTCTCAAACACAGCAGCGGTGGCTAACTGCAAAGATCAAGCCAGTCACAACTCAAGTAAAGCCTGCAGTGAGACTCAAGAGACCCACCTACCTAATGAGCTATTAGCAGTTGAAGGCTTCAGGGGGAGACACTGGTTACTCTTTTGGGGTGTCCACTGATAGTTTCCAAGCTCCAGTCGATGGTCCCACCCATGAACATGCAGATAGACAGTATATAAGAACTATAGGAGAGTATATTAATATAGAGGAATATACCAATATCTGATACAAATGAAAAATCTGTATCAAAATCCTATCACCCTGAATCCAGGAATGCATTGTTGGTTTAACCTCTGAGAATGATCATTAATATTAATGCAGTACATTAGTATTAAAAAACCCTGTATGTTCTTACTAGTATTGTTCTAGTTAAGTCTCCATGACCAAAAGCAACTTGGGGAGAAAAGGGTTTATGTTAGCTTACAAACCTCAGTTTGTATCACTGAAGGAAGTGAGAGCAGGAACTAAAGTAGAGACCATGGAAGGAATGCTGATTACTGGCCTGCTCTCCAGTTTACATTCAGCTATCTTTCTTATACCTTCCAGGACCACCTGCCCAGAGGTGACAGCTCCACATGGGCTGGGTACTCCCATACCAATCTTTAATCAAGAAAATGTCCCAGAGGATTGCTTACAGTCCAATCTGATGGAAGCATTTTCTCAGCTGTGGCTCTGTCTTCCCAGATGACCCTACCTTTTGTCACACTGATAAGAAACTAACCAGCACAAGTACATAGAAAAATATTGGATAAGGTCAATGTAATACTATTCATGATAATACTATCAGAAAATTATACTTTAAAGACTCATAATTATTAGGATAAGGAGGACCTGGAACCTTTCTGTACTGCTGGAGCACAATGTTGTAGTCATGCTGGGAAAATTTTCACATTTCTTAGATAGGATAAAAAGCATCTAATGAAAAACCTAACATTACATGAATATTATGAGACTCAGTGCTTTCTCCCATCCTGGGATGACAGAATGGTATTTGTTACGATCAACTCTATTCAATACTGTTTTTTCCTAACCCCAACCTAACCCAGCACTGTTTTACAGGTTCTAGCTAGTATATAAATGGTAAAAGATGAATTAAAGCTTTAGTTGTTGATATATCTATGTAGAAAAATTTGAGAAATCTATGACAAATTAGCACTATTAGTAAGTTCAGAAACATCAATATATAAAAAAAAACCCACATTATTTTTATTAGGTAGCAAAGAAAGAGGAAATTTAAGGATAACATCAATGGGCTGGAGAGATGGCTCAGTGTTAAGAGCACTGACTGCTCTTCCAGAGGACTTGTGTTAGATTCCCAGCACCCATATATCCAAGATCTGACACTCAGACATACATGCAGGCAAAATGCCAATGTAAAAAAAAATGCATCTTATGTGGCACAAAACCTAAAATATTTGGTTATATATCAAGCAAAATACATACAAGACTCAGATTCAAAGCTATAATTAAGGAAGACATTAGTGAGAAGAAGAATGAAGGAATTTTCCAGAATTGGTCTTGAATATAGCTAATAGGCTTGCTATCTCCAAAAGGAGCTGCAGTGTTCAATGCAGTCCTAAGCAAAATGCCCCTAGTCTTTTGTTTGGGGGTAGGGTGGGGAAACACAAGAAACTGACAGGTTAATTCTAAAATTTCTATGAAAAGGCAAAGAATCCATGTTATAATATTTTAAGAGAAAAATATTAAAAGCACTGTACTACAGCACTTAAGACCTAGTACAAAATTAGGACACATAGTTGCAAAAGGTAAGTAAGCAAAAATAAAAGGGTTAGAACAATCAAATATTTATGTATTAAAAAGAATTGGTGCTTGATCCCTAGAACACAGGTAAAAGTTAAATGTCATATATTTAAACATGAGAGCCAAACTGATGATACTCTTGGAAGAAAATGGGAAATCTTTATAGCTTCAGGCTAAGGTGTTGGGAGCCAAATCTCAGAGCTTGGCATGAAATCCTAGGCCATGTTTAGCAGACCACATAGTTAACCTTTACATAGCAACTCCTTAGAACCTCAGCTCAAGAAAAGAAACAACTTAACCCAGTCCTCCACCCACAGGCTCAGTCACCTAAGCCACAGTGCCTGTCCCTCTTACTCATGAACTCTTTATCCTGCCAAACATCCTCTTTGTGGCTTCCTAATATCCTGCCTATACCAACACCTGGTGCACAAACAATTCATTTTGCCCCTCCCCATATCCTGACTATATAAGCTAGCCTGAGAAAAGTAAAGTTTGCCACTTGATCAGAATCCTGTCTTGTGGTCGTTCTTTCTTCGTCTCTTGTCCCCATTCCCTATCCCTAACTCTCTTGCCCCAGGTTGACGTCCTGCAGGACGGGACACTAAGGTATTGGAATTCCTCAAAATAGGAACTTTTCCTATTCAGATGATATTGATAGGAAAACACAGACATGGCATGGGCTGAAATTATCTGTAAAACATATCTGATTAAGAATCTGTATCCAAGTCTGGTGGTGGTGGTGCGCGTCTTTAGTCCCAGCACTCAAAGGCAGACAGGTGGATCTCTGTGAGGTTGAGGCAGCCTGGTCTACAGAGGGAGTTCCAGGATAGCCAGAGCTGTACACAGAGAAACCCTGTCTCAAGAAAACAAACAAGCAAAAAACCAAAACAAACAAAATCTGTATCCAAGCAAGGTGGTGGTGGCACACACCTTTAATCCCAGCACTTGGAGGTAGAGGCAGGTGGATCTCTGTGAGTTCAATGCCAGCCTGGTCTACAGAGCAAGTTCCAGGACAGTCAAGGCTACACAGAGAAACTTTTGAAAGACCAAGGAATCTGTATCCAGAATATATAACAAGTTACAAATCACCAACAACAAATCATACAGGGAAAAAAAAAACAGTAAAAGATCGGAACAAACACTTCATCAAGAAAATATGTTACTGGTTGGATCTAAAATTTTCCCAAAGGCTCATGCATGCTCCATTCCCAGCTGCTGGTGGACTGAGAGGTGACTGGATCATGAGGTGCTAACTTCATCAATGGATGTTCATAATGAATATGGTAATAGCAGTAGAAAATTGTTGAAGGAAGTAGTTTACTGAGGTGTGTCTCTGAAGTATAGCATCTGACTTCAAACTTGTTCTCTAGTTCTCCCTGCTTCTTGGTCACCATGAGGTTAGAAACTTTAATCTGTCAAATGCTTCCTGGCTTTTATCCTTGCCTAGGCCTAAAATGAGGAGAACAAGGAACAACTAACTAAAATCTCTGATACTATGAACTGTCAGCAGATGTTTCTCTCTGAATATGAATTATAAACGATTGGCCGATAGCTCAGGCTTGTTACTAGCTCTTTCACTTAATTTAACCATATCCTTATTTACCCTCTGCCATGTGACAGTACCTTTATTAACATGGCACAATCATTCTCAGACTCTGCCTTTCTTCATCCCAGAATTCTTCTAGTCTGGCTCTCCCACCTAATCTTATCCTGCCTGGCTATAGGTCAGTCAGCCCCTTTATTAAACCATCATATAGTCACACAGTGAAAAGGAATATTCTGTAACAGTGAACCAAAATAACCTACCTTTCTGTATCTTGACTTCTCTCAAGTATTTTGCAGCAATACTAACACAATATATATTAAAACAAATATGGAAATATCCTCAAATTATTTATTAGTGATATGGATATTAAAACCACAAAGATTCCATTTCATAGACACTACGATGGCTCAGCTTGAAAAGAATCACTGCACGTGTAAGGAGGAGGAACAGGTGGAACTTTTCTATATTGCTGAAGCAAAACACTATTGTCACATTGGGACATGGCATCTTGTCATAGCAACTGATAGATACAACCCAAAAATCCTACCCTAGATACTTATCTGAGGGAAATACGAAGAATTGTCACATAAAGACTTGTGTATGAATGTTCATAGTGGCTTTGCTAAACATAGTCAAGTAATGAAAATAATCCTAACATCCATCAGATGATCTGTGCATAAACAAAGTGTGGAAATCCATATGAGGCAATAATACTCGGCCAATGGAAGGAATAAGTGAATTAATTTAAAAAACACAGATGATTCTCAAAGGCATTATGTTAAATGAAAGAAACAAGATAAAAATTATTTCCTATTTTAAGAGTCCACTCATATAAAAATCTAGAAAGACAGTAGTTTCCTTGGATTAGGGTGAAGGGTAGGGAATAGATTTGATGGGGACATAAGGGAGTATAGTGATACAAATACTTTACACTGTTGTGATTCATTACTGTATGTATCTGTTAGAACTTTTTGGACTTTGATGGTATTTAAATTGTATCTCAAAACTAATAAAAGTTACCAAAATATTAATGTATTTTCCCATTTTTAAATAATAGCTTGTAAAATAATTTTTCAGCTGGGCTGATAACATTTCCCTTTATCGGACAAGAATCTCAGAGAACACATACATTAGGAGAATGAAGTCAAGATTTTCCCATGGAGAACAATGTTTTCCATGATCCTTACCTAGAGTGGTGAGTCCTTCTGAGAGAGATGTGAGAACATACAGGAGCACAGGAGGCTCCAAGTTGGTGATGAAGCTCATGTGGTCCTGGGTGAGACATTCCAGGAGTGGATAGTAAGACTGGCTCAGTTTCCGATATTGCTACAAAAAGAGATACAGTAAATGTCAAGCCACGTGGATATGGCATCTTAGTCTGATATATTTGTACAAGGCTGACTCATTTAACTAAATTACTATTTGGTAAATGATTTATTATTTATCATATTCTAAAGACAAGAGACAAGTGTATGAGAAAATACCTGGGGAATCTCAAATACAACATAAACTAGAATCAAGGCACAACACTCATGGCAAATATAATCTAGAGCAGTATAGCATCTAGTGAGGCCACAGCATTTCCATAAGCATGATTATTCAAGATGTGGTTTTCTAACCCTTATTCCAGACTCACTCAATAAAAATCTCTTAAGTGTCGGTTTGAAATAAACATTTCCCCCCATATATAGTAAATACAGTCTTATCTATCTTCAGGTTTGAGAATTACTAACGGTTTGCCTGGAGTGAAATCAATTTTCTTGGTGGACCACAACTGTAGTGAAAAGTCCTCTCAATGAGGCTGATGAACATTGTACCTGATGATTCCAATTTCTACTTTGTAATTTCTGTTACATAGGTACCGTGTTCAGTGAGCATTTCACTCTTGGTAAGGAGGCATCACACCCTGGATTGAGGTGTACTGCTCACTAGTCCACTGTGAGGTCTAGGAACACTTCTCACACAAGCTCTCCAGATCATTCATGAAACTTCTGGGAGCAGGTGGGAGAGTATCAATTGACCCAATGCTGAATTTGATTATTTTAAAAAGTACTTACTGAAAACACAACAAGTACACAATGGCTTCTGTATAAGCTGGCAAAAAATGTTTTAAAGAAAATCTGCTGATGAGACAAGCCAGAAGTCTATAAATTTGCATTTCCAAACAAGTATCCCAGACATTTCTGAAAGGTTTCAAAGTTTAGAGATCAATGATGTATATCATATCATAGAAGCTAAATGTCATAGCAGAAAAGGGGCCAAAAAAAATCATATTCTTCAAAGCACTCATTTAAAAAGTGTGACCTAAAAAGCAGAGAGGCGATTAACTCTAGGTAAATGACTAAGTGAATAACATTCTCTATATCAGCTTGCTCAATGTTCAGTTTAACACTGTCTGCCATACCAAAATTTTAATACAAAGGAAGGCCAAACAGTGAGAAGCTAAAGGAGGGGGGTGCTCTTGTAGTTATCGGTACTTATCCCTAGCATAGGAATGGACTTTGGGAGCCCATTCCACATAGAAGGATACTCCCTGAGCCTAGACACACGGGGGAGCACCTAGGCCCTATCCCAAAGGATATGACAGACTATGAAGACCCCCCTATGGAAGGCATCACCCTCCCTGGGGAGCAGAAAGGGTATGGAATAGGTAGGGTGTTAGTTTGGGGGAGGACAGGGGAAGAGGAGAGGGAGAGGGAACTGGGATTGACATGTAAAACAATGTTGTTTCTAATTTAAATAAAAAATGGAGAAAAAAATACTTCAACTATGTAATTGTAAAATAAAAAAAAAAAAGGAAGCTAAAGGGTAGAATGAATGTGAGGGAAAATTCTGCATTTGATCCTGTATTTCCTTTTTTGAATCATATGAATATAGCTGAAAGCAAGTCACTGACATGTCTATTTTCATATGAAGAGGCTGGGGCATTTTGGATGACCAAGTGGTTAGAAGTGACGGCTGTGACATTTTAACCTGTGTGTTGAATTACAGAAATAACCACTAGAGCTGTCCAGGTTTGATAAGTCTGAAGCAAGCATGCTGTCCTGAAACATAAAATGTGGTGGTGTTTAGATTCCCCAGGTTTCACTGTAACAATTCCAGGCTATGGGGCTGGTATTTCACATGAAGACCCTATGGCACAGAAGTGCTTACCAGCAAGTCACTGTGGGACACTGACAGCAGCATTTTCACAAAGGCCTGGAGTACATTGTCAAAATGGCTGTCCCCATACAACTTGAAGACGCCAAAGCTGACATAATTTCCACATAAGGCAGATTTGAGAGCTGAATAGCAGATGGAGATGCCCTTGAGTTTCATTGGATAAATCTGATCTTTTGAGAGACTCCCAAGAGTCAGGATCTGATTTCCTGTTACAGAGTAAAAGCAGAACGAAAGTGATAAGGAGATTTAATTCAAAGAACTTGTGAGACACACTGATATCTTCACTTTGCAGTTAATGTTATCTTTTCTCCAGCATGTCCCCCAAATTGAATCACCCATTGTACAAAAAATAAATATACAAGATCATTTACTTGGGAAGAATGAAGAGCCCAAGGAAAAAAAATCAATCAAAGGTACTATGAATGGTTACTGTTTTTATTTGGATGGCAATTACACTGGTATATACGTAGACATGAAGAAAACCATGAGACACACATACTCTTCAGATTAGTTTATGCACTTTAATGTAAATGAACTGTTAGCCCTTAAATAAACATTTTAATAACTTCCACACATGCTCTGTGGCTCCTGTGTACACATGGATACACATACACAGACATGAACAATGAATACATAAATGTTAAAAAAGAAACAAAAAAGAAACTGAGTTAGCAAAACATTTTGAAAAAAGAGGTATGTAGGGGACACTGTAACCTCCTTAGGGCTGGCTACAGGTGTGCCCCACCATGCCCACCAGGCATGGTCGTGAGGGAGGTTTAAGAGTGAGGGACACACACATGGTAGCCCCTTCTTTTTCCCTGCTTCATCGGCTTGCTCTGTTTACTTCGCTTCCTGCTGGCTGGCTAGGTTGCTCTGTAAGTAAGGCATCTCTCCCTAATAAATATACCCTAATATCTTTACCTTGCTCCATATCAGTATTTATCTTATTGAGGCAGGATAAAATAACCAGTTAAGCTGGGCATTGGTGGCACATGCCTTTAATCAGGAGGCAGAGGCAGGTGGATCTCTGTGAGTTCGAGGCCAGCCAGGTCTACAGAGTGAGTTCCAGGAAAGGCTCCAAAAAAAAAAAAAAAAAATACAGAGAAACCCTGTCTTGAAAAAACAAAACAAACAAACAAAAAAACAGTTAAGCAAATCCCAAAATTTACTGAGGAGCTACAGCATTTGAAAGCTCCTGGGAGAGGGACTGTCACTTTTCTTCAGTGTGAGACCCCCTGGTAGGTTGACTATGCCAGTGCAGGTCATGTTCCCAAGAGTGGCTAAGCAACACAAACTGTATTCCATAGGGAAGAAGAAATCTCAACTTGAGTGGGAAGAGATGGGAGGATGATAATGGGAGTTGAAGGGGTGAATATGTTCAAAATATATTATATGAAATTCCCCAAGAATTATTAAAAATATTATCCAAAACAACCAGCTAAGTCAGAAAAAAAGAAAGTCTAAGATGTAAATGATTCTAAACTCTAGGTGAAGTTTTTTTTTTTCATGTTTTTGCTCCCCTTTTATTGAAAAAATTCAAGGTTTCAATCTTGTTCCTAAATCAATCTAACTGCTTCACAAGTTGCAAGTCTGCTTTGAGTTTTCTTTTTTTTTCTTTTTCTTTTATTTATTTTTATTTATTTTTTCCATTCATTTATTTAGCTCATAAATAAAGTCATGCACAATTATGATACATAATACAGTATGTTCACAATGGCATGGCTAAATTAAACCAATTAACATGTTATATCACACATATTCATCATTTTTGTTTTGAGAACACTTAAAGTATACTATCTCACAACTTTTAAAATATAACATATTGTTATCAACCATGTTTATCATGCTCAGTAGACCTCAAGACATCACAGAGTCCTGAAGTTTTAATTTCCTGTGAACTTAATCTTGTGTTACTTTATTTCTAGGAGCCTCATGGATTTGGAATTAGATGAGACACAGACATTACTACCACTGTAAAAGATAATCATAGTTTCTTATTTTTTTCTTTAGGTCTTAGAAGCTCTTGAGATGATTAGTTGAAAATCTCTACCAAAGTTCTAGGCTTGATGGCTAACCTTGGTTGTCAATTTGACATATCTGGAATCAGCTGGGCATACTAGTGAGGTATTTTTTCTAGATTGGATCATTTAGGGTGGAAGACCCACCATAAGTCTGGGTCACAGCTCTCAGCCTCAGCATAAAGGGACATAGAAGAAGGGAGCTTTTGCTTTTTGCCTGTTTGCCATCACTCTTGCCAGCAAATTCATCTATCCTGTAACTGGGACATTCTTTTGCTGGTACTACAACCTCCTTCTTCAATATTCCAACCCAGACTGAACACTAGCAGCTCTCTAGGAATCCTCTAGGACCCCAGTACCAGATAGGGACTGCTGAGACATCCAGTCTCATAGGCTGAACAAATACCAGAATCTGGATAAAACCATCGTGAGATAGTTATTGTTGGGGTACCTGGACTACAGATGGTACGCCATTCTAATATCCTCCCTCTTTTTGGCTGTTTTTTTTTTAAAATAATTTATTTTTGGTTTTTCTTTTTTTCTAAATATTTTTTACATTTATTTTTCCCCCCTCCCTCCTCTCTTCCTGCTCCCCCCACTTCCTTCCCCACACCAACCTCCCATCTGCTCCATAGAGAGGGCAAAGCCTCCCCTAGGAAGTCTACTAAGTCTGTCCCATCATTTCATTGAGGCAGGACCAAGGCACCTCCCAACTCCTCACCCCTGTGTCTAGGCTGAGCAAGGTATCTCTTCATATAGAATGAGCTCCATTAAGTCAGTTTGTGCATTAGAGTTAGATCTTGGACCCACTGCCAATGGCCTCATATATTATCCCAGCTGCACCATTGTCACCTATATTAAGGGAGTCTAGTTCAGTCTTATGCAGTTTCCCCATTTGTCAGACCAGAGTCAGTGATCTCTCACTAGCTCGGGTCAGCTGATTCTGTGGGTTTCCCCATCATGATCTTGACTCCTTTGTTCATATTATCGCTCCTCCCTCAGTTCAATTGTACTCTGGGAGCTTGGTCCAATGGTTAGTTGTAGATCTCTGCATCTGCTTCCATCTGTTTCTGGAAGAGGGTTCTACTTTCTCTGGGGTTGTGGATTGTAACCTAGGTAACTTTTGCTTTATGTCTGGTATCCACTTATAAGTGAGTACATACTATATTTGTCTTTCTGGTTTTGGGTTACTGCACTCAGGATGATTTTTTTCTAGTTCTGTCCATTTACCTGTGAATTTTAGGATGTCATTGTTTCTTACCACTGAGTAGTACTCCACTGTGTAAATGTACCACATTTTCTTTATCAATTCTTCAGTTGAGGGGCATCTAGTTCTGGCTATTATGAATAATGTTGCTACGAACATAGTTGAGCAAATCTTCTTGTGGTGTGAATGTGCCTCCTTTGGGTATATGACCAAAAGTGGTATTGCTGGGTATAGAGGTAGATTGATTCCTGATTTTCTGAGAAATGCCATACTGATTTTCAGAGGCTGTACAAGTTTGCACTCCCACCAGCAATGGAAGAGTGCTCCCCTTACGCCACATCCTCTCCAGCATAAGCCGTCATCAGTGTTTTTGATTTTAGCCATCTGAAATCAAAATCTGATTGATGTAAGATGGGATCTCAGAGCTGTTTTGATTTGTATTTCCTTGATGACTAAGGATGTTGAGAATTTCCTTTCCGCCATTCGAGATTGTTCTGTTAAGAATTCTGTCTAGATCTGTACCCCATTTTTCAATTGGATTATTTGGTAGTTTGATGTCTAGTTTCTTGAGTTCTTTGTATATACTGGAGATCAGGCACCTGTCAGATGTGGGGTTGGTGAAGATCTTTTCCCATTCTGTAGGGAGCCATTTTGTCTTGTCGACTGTGTTCTTTACAGAAGCGTCTTGGTGTCAGGAGGTCCCATTTATTAATTGTTGCTCTCAGTGCCTGTGCTACTGGTGTTCTATTTAGGAAGTGGTCGGTCACCTGTGCCTATGTGTTCAAGGGTATTTCCTATTTTCTCTTATATGAGGTTCAGTTTGAATAGATTTATATTCAGTTTTGTGCATGTCAAATAGATCCCCTTTTAATTTATATTTTTCTATCAGTTCTGATCCTTATTTATTTATTTTCGAGACAGGGTTTATGTGCTGAAACTTATTATATAGACCCAGCTGGCTTCAAACTCAGAGATCCACCAGCTTCTGCTACCTGTGGACTGGAGGTAAAGTATGCACCACCCTGTCTGTTGAGACAGGGTCTCTCTATATAGTCATGGCTGTCCTGGAACTTCGTATGTCAACTAGGTTGGCCTTGAACTCAGAGAGATCCATAGGTCTCTGCCTTCCAAAGTGTGTACCACCATGTTCCACAGTTTTTTTCCTTTAGAGAATCCTGATGAATACATATGCTGGCCATTAACAAAACAAAGAACTGTTTATATAATCACTTTAACATTTCAGTAGTACTTAGCATTTATAATCAACAATTTCAGTGTCTGAAATGTGTTCTGAAAGTGTGTGGCTAAGCAGTACCCAGAAATTCTTTAAACAACAGGCATGCTCTTTCTTAGCACTTCTTTTTCCTATTCAAATGAGTACTGCTTATAAAACGGAAACTAAATTCATTTTCTAAAATTTAGAAGTATACTTTATTCTGTGCCAACTTGGCAAAGAACTAAGGTTCCCAGAATCTATCACCCTGTATGTTTGTGGGTAGAAGTGGCCCCAAGAGCAATCTGTGAACTCAAGGAGGTAGAAAAGAAGCAACTGCAAGGCTTTCTCAAAGTGCTGATTAGCAGTGGTGAGGACCATGGTAAAGAATACTGTTGATCTTTTTTCTTTTCTGTTTTGTTTTGCTCATAACCACCAACTCTGCTAATGACTTCAGAGGCAACAGCTTTCTTCCCCATACAGTCAGTTTCTTCTCACACCTCATCTTTTTAGATCCTGCTTTACCTAATGTTTAGACTTCCTTGATGGTCCAACATGTTCACCTATGCCATTATTTCAGGAGGGCTAGTCAGTGGTCTTACCACTGTCAACACACCTATGGGTGTATAAGATATATTACCTAAAATTATTCTAATTATAATACATTTTAAATTATTTACACTCAATTAAAATAAATTTTTAGGATAGAATTATTTTTATTATTTTATTCTTATAATTTTAAGTTTTAAAGATGAAAGGGGAAAAAGA